TTGCCTCACAGTTTCAAGACATGAGCATCCTGGATCAATGGCGAGCCTTACAACGTGTAGCCAAGGCGTCTTCATCCAGACGGAGCTCGTTAAAATTTGTTGATTCCCCTTTTCTCAAAAGCCTCTGTCGCAGCCGCAGTCGTGAGACTGACCATCTCAAGAAGCAGTTCTTACTAAGCAAATTCTGACTTGCAGACTTCGCGAGAAGAATCTGTGGTGGTCCAGTCTTGAGCAAGCAGCTGCGAAAGGGGATTCAGCTGCACTTCGATACATCCAGCGTCGTGTTCAGGGAAGGGGTGACGATGGTCTTCTCGTTTCCGCTTTTGGAGGACGGACAGGCGCAATTGAGGCTCTCAAGCATCACTTTGATTCCACATTCAAACCCGCAGACAAGCAGGCTGAGTCCCCAGAGTGTGCCAACATCGTGATGCAGATGAAGGCTGCGCTTACCCCTGGTTTTGTGCCGTTCAGTAGCACCGAACTTGCAGAGTATCTCACAAGTATTCCGCTGGGCAAAACCTCGGGCTCATCCGGAGTATCGCAGGACTTCTTGGTCAAGCTTGCTGGAAACGACATTGGGCAAGAATTTCTGCTGAGCCACCTAAATAAACTTCTTGCGACTGGTGAACTTCCTGATGACTATTATCGCAGTTTTGTCTGCTTGTTACACAAGATTCAGCAAGTCAAGCTCCCTAAAGATTACCGGCCTATTTGCCTCTTGGAAAGCTTGTTCAAGTTGTTTTCAGGGCTTCTTCTACCACATCTTCTGCCTAGTTGGCCCACTCCCCCTTGTCAGTTAGGATCTGTCCAAGGGGGCCAGCCGCTCGACGGGTTGTGGACTGCCCAGAACTTGATCTCCAAAGAGAGCATGAGTGGTCGTCGGTCTGTTTGGGTATCCCTGGATGTTGCACAAGCCTTTGACAGTATTTCGAGAGTAGCCTTGGGTAAGTTTCTACAGCAACACAGCAACGGTTCCCACACCCACGAGGTTCTTCGTCTTTACCAGATCATCTGCTCTTCCACGCTCCGTTTTCGTTGGCGCGAGTTTGATTGGTGTGTTCACTCATGCTCTGGAGTGCCCCAAGGCGCGCCCTTCAGCTCTGCAATGTTTTCTTATATCATTGGCCATGCTCTGCAGAAAGTCTTTGCTCGCTGGGAGGCCGAAGGATGGCACACAAACCACAAACATGATACTGGTGCCCCCCTCTTCGGTTGGGCTTATATTGACGACATTCTCCTCAACTTTGCAAGTGTGGACTTGGCGATTCATGGGTTGGCACAGATTAATGCTTGTTTGCAGTCTTTAGGACTTGAGCTTAACTTAGGCAAGACACAAGTTATCTGCCATCCTTCAGACTTGGCAAGCTTCAAGGCTGCTTGCCGCCCTGATTGCCTTCTTGCAAAATGCACATGGACCGATCGTGGGACATACCTGCGGAAACCCCTCGGGTTCTTTGATCCCTACACTGCCGAAGACCAAATGCACACTCGCTTTTGGCAGATCGCAAAGAGTATTACTCATGGAGGTGTTGATGGGTTGCGGTCTGTACTTCGTCATTGCAGATGGTTCTGCAGTGCTCAGGCTGTCAATGTGCTTAACAAACACGTCTTTTTCAAGTGGGCTTGGTTCGCGCCGCTTCTCGAGGGCCTCGATAAGAATATCAACGAAGTTCACGCCTTCCAAACTACTATCCTATATCAAAGTCTGCACTTGTGTATTCCAGCACATTATGGCCCACGCCAAGCGCATGCACTGCATCGTCTCAGAAGACGTTTTGTGCATCTGCTCCTTGCTCCAGACCCGCGACAACAATGGGCCCCTGCCGTCATGACACGACGATGGACTTATATCGGGCATATTTTGCGACAACCTGCAGGGCATTGCACGATCGTTGGGTTTGCCAGCGCAGACCCTAGTGCCTGCAAGCATGAGCGCCCTGGTCCTTGGAATACTGCTTTTAGTTGGGTCCAGAAGGTTTTCCAGCATCTAGGGTGGTCTGATGCCAACTCCAAGCCAGACATTCATGACATGCAGCTCACAGCCAGGGATCGATTCAGTTGGGCCGCTCAAGCTATGTACTGCTTGGCGTCGCCTTTGCAACACGAGTGCGCGTGGCAGACTTGGCGTGACGCTTTTCGATCTGCTGTTCCATGGCTTCGGACCATTCTGCTCACGTGCGATGATGTGGTTTTTTCTTTCATCTGGCTCGACAGAGCGGAGGGCTGGCAGACTTTCCGATATCACAATCTTCTTGGGGGTATGTATTTTCTTCACATGCTTGAGGGACAGAGACTGTACAATCTTCTTTGCGTTGATTGGCTCATGGACTGCATTCTTCCTACTGTTGCCAACATTCGGGATGACCTTTTTCATCGAGGGCTTCTGGTTTCATTTAGTGATATTCCTTCGACTTGGGTTGCGCAGATCACGCATCTTGCGTCTGATGCCTGAGAGATCTTTGTATGCGAGCTGTTCGGAGAACGCTCCTGCTCCCGTCACACGCATCGGCCTCAGTACGGGTTCAAAAAAAAATGCGGTGTTTATACGGGACTTGATGTACGGACAGCAGTAGGATCCTCTATGGTTCCTCCAACCAGGCGGGCTACTCAGATTGTTCTACGAAATTCGGGAAATCAGTGCTACATGAACTCCATCATTCAGGTGATGCTATGGCTTTTGGAAAAGCTGGGGCACGCTGGCTTGACCAGTGGCACTGAACTTGAAAGCTTTCTGCTCAGCCTGATTCGCAGCACTGATTCACGGGCCATCACATTGCTCGATGATTCCAGGTGGCTATCAGTACTTCAAAACTGGGGAGAGGCTCATCGCCAACACGACGTTTGTGAGCTCTTTTCGTACATCATGACTCAGTCCGATTGTGGCCTTTTCGCAGGCTCATGGAAGGCTTACATGCCTACCATGGCGGGGGTGCTTCACCAATTGGATGAGGGGCTATGTACTCAGCCCATTGTGCTTCATATGCCAACACAGACAAGAATGTCCAAACCACCCAGGATTCAACATCTGGTTGATGAATGGCATCGATGTGTCGATCGCCTACATGCTTTAGACAAGGTGCCAGCAGCGATACTTTTTCAATTGCATCGCTTCAACAGACAAGGGGGACGTGTCATCAAGAATCATGCACCGGTACGTCTTGATGATACTATACAAGTACCTTTCTTCATGAGCCGAGGTCGGGTATTACACGTGTGCCTTATATACTGTGCGCCTTCAATGAACATCATGGAAACACGCCTTCTTCGGGGCACTACACAGCGACTCTGGTGCAGGACGGATTTTGGATCTGTGACGACAATCGCGTGGCCAAGTGGCGCTCTGCGTTGACCAATATGCAGCATAAATCGTGCTACGCTTTGTTCTACTGTCTTCAGTCTGCTTTGCCGGAGTTCGCCACGACCTCATAGCACAGCTTGGACGGCATGCATGCTTATGTGTTCCTCGGAACGGTGTATGCTGCTAGTCCATGTTTTCGAGATGGCGAAACCGCCATGTACTATGTACCGGGCATCCAATGGAAGCCTGCTCATGCCCGACGCCTGGCGGATGGACTCCTTCTGCTGCGTGCAAAGCTCAAAGCTACTACCATCACTCCTACAACTGCTACCACCACCGCCACCACTACTGCTACTACGGGCGCCGACGACTACTGCTACCACTACTACTACCACATCGGCGACGACAACAACAACTACTACCACGGCTACTGCGATTGCTCCTCCTTTTCCTGTTCCTGTTCCTACCAGTATTACCCCAATACTGCTACTACTGCTACCACTACTACTCCTCATCCTCCTGCTCCCTTTCCTTCTCCCCACCTTTGCTCCTCCTGCTGCTGCGGCTGCTGCTGTTACTATTTCTATTGCTAGTACTACTACTATCACACCGATCACGACTACCACTACCGCGACGACGACGACTACCACTACCACCACTACTACTACTACTACTACTACTACTACTACTACTACTACTACTTCTACCACCTGGTAAGGTGCGTACTGAACACTGTAAGGCTTTATAGTGTGAAAGTGCTACGGCATTGTATATGTTTGTACAATGTACCCACCCCGCATGTGTGCCCATCCGTTTGCTTTGTATTCAAAGATCCCCTCTGACTGTCAGCAAGCGCAGAGCCAGCCTTGGGACGGCAGGTTGATGTTGGCATTGCGCCTTCGCAATGGTACCACACTGTGGGTAGCCCCAGCACTACGTCCTGTGGCCAATCCCCGGAGAAGCCAATTGCTGCCTTGTCCCTCAACATTATATGACAAACTGCAGTAGGCGGTAGCCAAAACGCCCTTGGAGACTACCCGGGCCCAGTCTCCAATTGATTGCCAAACACAGCAGGCTTAGCGTGCCACGGAGCCAAATATGCTATCCACTAATAAATGACGGTTCATCTCTTCTTCGCGAGTTGGTGGCGCTTTCCCACCACTCCTCTGATTCAACATCGGAAGAGTCCAGCATGCTTAGTTGTGCATGCATGCATGGTAGGTACGTATGTCATTGCATACGTAGGTTGACATGGGTACACATCCGTAGAGATATATGATTGTACAACATGTTCGATGTTTTCCTAATGCTGTGCTGGACATGTTACATTGCGGCGCATATATGTGTGTTTACTTAAGGTTTGCACTAGTTTCGTGTTATCTTAGATCCAGAGACCGTGCGAAGCCCTAGGCGTATTGGGCAGGTGGCCCTTTTTCCAAGAACCTACCCCCCGTAAGTCCTGGATCCAACCCCTTGATCAACAGATCTAGAATGGAGTCCCCTCCACAGTTGGGTTGACAAATCCATTGTTGATGTTCTCCTAAATTGCTGCATCCGTCTCTGCTGGATGGTTCCTTTCAACTCACTGGGCGGGAGAAACTTTGTCGTGCCTACCAGCTCTAGGCGCATCCCATACATGCTGTCACTGCATTGATTGTTCGTACGTAGACTTCCTGGATTCTTCTGATTGCCAACGATGCAGGGACAACCGAGGATCCCGTTGGAGGCTCGACTTGCAGTCACGGGTTTGACATGTTTACAAGAGCGCGTCCAGTTGGATCGGCAGGCATCCTGACCGCGGGTTCCTGCCTGCCGATTGAATCAGGGTCAGAGGACGGTTTCTGTCAGGAGGACTTGTTGAAGCGCACACTCGCTGCACGCAGCCTGGTCCAAGAGGCGTCTGCACTGTCCAAAGCCTTCTCGCCACAACTTGGTTTCACCTACGAGCTCCTCACTCTCGCACCTGTGCCGCTGCACGAGACCAGCACGCAAGGCACGCCGGATTTTTACATTCGCTTGTTGAAGGCCGGGAATCCTCGAACAGAAGTTGCGCTTTGGGACTTCCGCACTTTTCAAGACCGGCTGAAGCTTATGAGGCAGGCATGGCAGGCCTCGAGTCTTCGCTCAGATCGTCCTTGGGTGGACACAGAAAGCACAGCAGCGGCTTTGGGACGCCAGCTGTCACATCCACCCAAGGGCGAGCTGATGTACCCTACTATGTCGAATTCTTCAGTGCAAGTGAACAGACACCCAAAGGGTGTCGTATGTTTGGTTTCGCCACGCTCTGTAAAGCCCCAAAGGGGCCTTGATGGGCGGTCCCGTACCCAGATGTCTTTGTCCCAAGCAGCCTTCCAAAGTTCTGTCCACAAGACATGCGAAAGGCTACAGTCGTTAGCTTCGCCAACAGCGTACCCTGGCATTCATCTATGCACCGAACCCATCGTACCAACCGCGCCTGCCTCATCATTCTCATTGACGCCGATATTCGAAATCTGACTTGGCCAGCCGCTTGGAGGCAGTCCAGCAGACTTCACCTCCAGATCAGGAGAGAGGTTTGATGTCATTCCATTGAAACCAGACACTTCATCGCCGGGCTGCATGACGCGCGAGGCAATGTCACAAGTTACAAGCTTGTGATAACTTGTGCTTCTCTGATGCATGCTTCTGTCATGCAGCCCTGAATGCACCAAGTCCACGATATGTCTTTAGCTGCCTGGTCTTGGATCGGCAGGGAGCCCTAGACTCCGAGACTGTAGCCGCATAGCCCAAGACAAGAGTTGACATGAAGATGTTCGAGCGAAGAGCGACACGAGGTTCAGCGAAGACGCGGAAGCGCCAACAAGGCAGCAACTTGATGGCGTGTCCTGAATCTGAAGCCTGAAGCATCTGCTCACATGGAGCATCCTACATATTCTGAAGTGGCCAACACCCGCCAGACTGACCCAGCTGCTCGTTCATTCCAGGTGAATGCCCCTTTCGCTGCCTTCTGAGCCGGGCTTGTGTGTTTATTACTCAGAGAGACTGATGCTCATCTGCGGAAAGACTGGCCGGCTGTGCTGTAGCGGGTGCTGCCGCAATCAGTCCGTAGTTGGGGACAGGGGATACAAAATCCGGAACGGGTGAGCTTGCGGTGAGCCCTTAGGGGTTGTGGGGAGTAGATGCGTACTTGTAATTAAGAGTAGTAGTAGATCATAAACGAATTTGTCGGGCTGATTGTCAAGCGCGAAGGCACACTTCCGAAGCCATCCAAGCAGGCCTCTCATGCACTACTTCTTGAATACATCAAGAACCATTGATTGCAGCACTCTGCAGTTGCTCACTTAGGGTCGAAGTGATATTGCACACGGCATAAGACACAACCATCATCTTCAAAAAATGTGAACTATGGACTTGTAGCCCTGCTTCGTGTACTCAGCCATGCAGGAGGCAAAAAAATTCGGACATAGAACAGCTCCAGATATCTAGAAGGTTTACGATTTGCTAGAGCCTAGGATGGCCTCGGGCAGCGGAGGCCACCAAGAAAGCCCGTACTTCTTGGAGAGTCCTGCTCATGCCAGCAAACGTGGCAGAGTGCAATAGCATTGCGACATGTCTGGAAGGCTCCAGCACAAACCCAGAGCTCAGATTCCACGCTCCTCCATGGGAAAGAATGTTCCAAATCAGCAGTCGCAAGCCTGGCACCTGGCATCTGACACTCGCCACAAATTGTGTGCACTCGCAAGTTGCGGCTCGCAGGGCCCTCTAACTTGCTATATAAATACATATGGGAAACCAACACGACTAAGCTTTTGCATGTCATGATAGTTTGTCGGACGGATGTACGACGATGTGGCTGGACAGGGAACTTCAAAAGGGTGGGTAGGTTAACATCTTGTTAATGTTACTTCATGGATTAGAGGTATGGGGATTCTTTGTGGGTTGTGTTGAGCTTAGATGTGTTTTCCTTTAGAGGGGTGATGAAAAGCGGAATTTGGGACAGGGTCAGGAAGGGCGAAGTGCTTCTTTTCACGTGGAATCTTCTAATTCCCGTTCCTGGGGGGGATCCAAAACCAATCGGACCAGGCCGTTTCTCCTGAATCTGAATACCATACTTGCTGTCAAGCTTACAAAACCTAGAAGCCTGACGAAGTGTTCATAGCTGGTGCTTCGTGGACGAGCCTTGTGCGTATTCCAGGGTGGCCGGCAACAAGCCCGCGCCGTGACGAGCCACTCCTGAGAAGGACCACGTGCTCAGGGCTGCAAGGCTTATGCACACCTTCATTCCGTCATTTATGTACCTACTTGTGTCAACTACATGTAGGTATATATAAGTATATGTATATATATATATGTACACAAACACACGAGGGTGCAGAGAAGAAGCTTGGTGTGCACTGGGTTTAGGCCCTCAGCTGAAAAGTGCAGGGTCGGCTTGCAAAAATATTCCTCCGCGCCACCTTTTGGTCGAATAGTTGGGTCTGGTTGCTTAGGTTTCTTAGGAATTAGCTTCCATTTGTAGTCTAAGAAATAACCTAAAGCTTGTTGACAATACTAGTTTTATTGCGGTCCCAACGGCTTTTCATAATTCCTATTATGGTTCTAGGTTCTAAGGGTTTTGTATTGTTTTTGGTATCGTTCTAACAGTTTCATGTCGTGTTGTTGCTCTAAACCCCTTTAGGCTTTTTGTCCATATTCAAAGGGTGCTCAAGGCCTTAGGGGGCTTTCGGCTCTCGGCGGGGGTTATCTATCATGTCCGTTGCTGGAGCTCCTGGGGCCAATCACTGGTCTAGCTGTTTCAGTATATTTCAATCATTACTTGCTGTTGGCATGCATTTCTGAAACACATCGCCCCGACGGATTGGAGCTAGGCAGAGGGTGATCTCCTTCATGCTTTTACTGTTTTTCTATCTGCAAACGCGTGTCTTGCCGGTTGCAGGAACGTCAGTGCCTATTTACGTACCGCGCTGTTGGCAATCGATGCTGCTAATATACTTCGTCAAGCTAGTAGCAGGATGTGTAAGCTTAATTAAGTTTCGACTGGAAGCAAATTTGGTTCTGAGCGGGATTGCTGCGGTCAGCCAGAGCAGCACCGTTGTTCTACCCATTCTTCTCGTTCCAGCTTTCGTAGCCTGATTCTCCCCATGAACCCTGCTTGAAGCTGGCAGGGCACTCGTGATCCATGGAGTGGCCAGGCACGGTGCCGCCGATGACATGATGTGTTTGTTGCGGCTTGCAACTTGTGCCATGTCGTGAAGCCAGAGGTCGGCTTTGGGATTTTCCCA